ACCTAGAAGCCAAGCTTCTGTGTTTTATAAGTGAGAGCTGACAGTAGTGACAGTATTAAGATGAAACTTGAAGTTTCTGGCTGGCTGGGCCCTCCTGTCACAGTGAACAGCCTGGGCCCCCTACAGGAGTCCTGGAGGTACCCCCTTATCAGCGGCCCTGTGCAGAAGTTACAAGATCTGTTAAGTGACTGTATACCCTTCTAACAAACCTGACTATTCTGTTAAAATGCATGCAGTGTCAGATGTTCAAAGTAATCGCTTATTAGCCAAGTCAAAACTCTTTAATGTGTTTAACATTACTGGTGAAACATTTTCTTACATACTAAAAACATGCTCAGGTGCTAAAGTAAAAAAAGTGTGTAGGGCATCTAACTTCACTGTTCAGTCTGATGATGGGAAAACACGCATAAAACTTCCCACTCTCTTTGAATGCGACATGATGCCGGATGTCAGGGAAAAGGAGTTTCGCATCTGCGCACATCTGCGCGCCAGCGCCGAGTGCCCATCGGCCGTGCCGGTGCTCATGCAGTTACGCACACGCAAGCACGCTGTGACGTACACAGGCGGCTATTTAAACCCCTGCTGCACTTAGAATAGTGCCTTCTGGTCTACTACGTTCTGTGTGTGTATCCTGACTCCTGTTATCTACCTGCTTTGACCTGACTACGATTGAACTCCGCCTGCACCGACCCGGCTCATCCCTTGACTATCCGCTTGCCTGCTTCTCTGTACCTTATCCGTCCGATTGATCCTGACCCGGCTTGCCTGATGCTTCTACCTCTCCTGCCTGTGAATATCTCTGGCTGCCAGCTGCCACTGTTGCACGTATCTCCGCTCTACCTTCCTGCTGCTGCACCTGCTCACCTGTATCTGCAACCGACTTGCATCCTGTTCCTCCGGGTCATCACCTGCCAGCTGTCACCGCAGACCCGTCAGGCACTCATGCCTCTCCTAGCTCGATACCTTTTGTCTACCCTATAAGGGGTCCCGAGCGGGAGTGGTAAGAGGACGCCCTCTCTCCACATCAGGCTCCTCAACCAGGTATGTTACACTGGATGACAGGTCAGAAATACCAACCCGAGATTACACAGCATTTCCCTCATCTGAAATCCTTAACAGATGAGATTCCTGCAATTTACCCTAATACCCGAATACTCCTCTTGCTAGGGAGAGATATTCTTATGGTGCACAGGGTGCATTAGCAGATTAACGGACCCCATAACACTCCGTATGCACAACGTTTAGATTTAGGTTGGATCATAGTTGGAGAAGTATGCTTAGGTGAGGCTCACACATTAGCAGATGTGAACTCGTATAAGAAATATGTGCTGCCTAATGTGCGTCCTTCTCTATTCAGCCCATGCACCAACTATATGAGAGTAAGGCTGGCCATACATTATACAATTTTCTGTCCAATTTCTGCCCAATTTCTTTTAGATTTACCTTCAACTATGTAATGCTAGGGCCTGCCTAACTGGATACAGTTGAAAGTGTTGTTGATGTTTGACCTCGTATTATATGTTTTTTGGTAAATCTAAAGCAAAAATCTCAAGAAGATTGTATAATGGCCAAGCCTAAAAGAGACCTTTATATTCTTGTCAGCTACAGCCATGCACTCCCTAATTATATGGCCAGCCTAAAAGAGACAAACCAGTGGGTAGCACCCCTAACTTTAATTCTTGTCAGCTACAGCCATGCACTCCCTAATTATATGCCATTCAGGGACCACAGATCATAGCGTAGACAGTTTAGGTGACAACATGTTCATTTGCTATGATGAGGAACCTGTTATGACCATTGAAGATCATATGTTGATTTATGGGGGCTGGATAGTTGAAAATGGAGATGTTTGTAGATGATTAGCAAACCAGTGGGTAGCACCCCTAATGTTTTGCTCACCACACCCTAGACTACCAAACAACGGAGCAAGCACAGAAGAGACTCCTTGTTCTACAGTGCTCCTTTGCAAGAAAACCTGAAATGAAAGAATTTTATTGTTAACTTTATGCAAAAGATCTTTGAGCATGTCCAAGCAGAACCTGGCCCACCACTAAAACCAGGTGAAGAGGGTTGGTACCTACCAAACTTTGGCATCTATCACCCTCAAAAACCATGGCAGATCAGAATAGTTTTTGATTCTAGCTCTCAGTATGATGGTAACTCATTGAAGGATGCAGTTAGGTGCTAAGTATCCTTATGTTTCCACAAAGAGCAAGCTGTAGTTACTACTGATTTATTTATTTATGGTACTTATATAGTGCTGTCAATTTATGCAGTGCTTTACACATGTATATTGTACATTCACATCAGTCCCTAACCATCAAGGGGTGTACAATCTAAGGTCCTTACCTTCATACACATACTAGGGCTAATTTGGACAGGATCCAATAACCCTACCAGCATGTCTTTGGAGTATGGGAGGAAACCCATGCAGGCACAGGGAGAACATGCAAACTCCAGGCAGGTGGTGCTGTGGCTGGGATTTGAACCAATAACCCTAGTGCTGCCAGGTGGAAGTGCTAACCATTTAGCCACTGTGCTGCCCCAATACTGCTGTACAGCAAATGTTTTTACTGTTTCGTGGTTAGAGAAAATCACTGTAACTACTTGAGGTTCCTTTGGTTTCAAGATAATGACCTCAACAAAGAAATTACAGAGTTCACGATGAAAGTACATGTCTTTTGAAATAGTTCTTCACCTTCCATAACCATCTATGGTCTAAGACAAATAGCTAAGCTAGTGATTATGAAGAAGATGTAAAACAGTTCATATTGAGAAATTTGTACATAGATGATGCCTACAGAAGCCACAGCAGTCAGTCTCCTGCAGAGAGCTAGGGAGATGCTTGCAGGGTCTAATCTTAGGCTACACAAGGTGGAGTCCAAAAGAAGCTCAGTAATGGAAGCAATCCCTGCATATGACAGAGCTAATCAGTAAAAAGACCTTGTTCTAGGTGTTGATCCTCTGCCCATTGATCGTAGTTTAGGAGTAAGTTGGAATCTCCAGAACGACAGTTTTACCTTTCAAGTGTCTAGAGACAAGGAGCCATACACACAGAGAGATATCCTAGCCACAGTAAACAGTCTTTACTAGCCAATCGGGTTTGCAGCCCCAATCACTATGCTTAGTTACCAATAGATCAAGAGAGTGGGACTCCCCACTCACACCAGAAAGAGAAACTCAGTGGAGAACATGGACTGAGGACTCTATTCATTTTGAAGGTCTCAGTATTCCCAGACCCTTTGTGCCAGTGTTGCTAACATCTACAGTGAGAAGAGAAGTATGTGTCTTCTCTGATGCTTCTGCTGTGACAATAGCAGTTGTAGCGTATCTCAAGGTCATAGACAGTAATAGTCAGTGTCATGTAGGCTTTATCATAAAATGTGGCAGCACAGTGGCTAAATGGTTAGCACTTCTGCCTTGCAGTACTAGGGTCGCTAGTTCAAATCCCAGCCACAGCACCTCCTGCCTTGGGTTTGCATGTTCTCCCTGTGCCTGTGTGGGTTTCCTCCCACACTCCAAAGACATGCTGGTAGTTAATTGGATCCTGTCTAAATTGGTCCTAGTATATGAATGTGAGTTAGGGACCTTAGATTGTACACCCCTTGAGGGTTAGGGAGTGATGTGAATGTCCAATATATACGTAAAGCACTGTGTACATTGACAGCACTATACAAATACCTGAAATAAATAAATTATGGGCTAATCTAAACTAGCACCAAGACCAGCCTACACAATGTCACATTTAGAGTTATGTGCAGCCATTTTGTCAGCTGACCTAGCAGAACTGATTTTTTAAGAAATTGAGCCTGATGCAGTTAAACACTACACTGATAGCAAAATTGTGTTAGATTATATTCACAATATCTCCAGAAGATTTTATGTGTATGTCTCAAACAGGGTAATCCGCATTACCCTGTTTGAGAAAAGTCCATTAATCCAGATCAGTGACATTACGTTTCCATTAGTCAGAATCCAGCAGATCACAGTAGCAGACTAATTCAAGCAGCTCACCTGAAACATACCAACTGGTTCTCAGGCCCAGATTTCTTACATCATGCAAATACAAGCGAACCACTTGAATTTGAGGTACTTGACCTTATTACTGTGCTTAAGGACAGGACCACCATATGTATAGCATAGTCCTATCTTGTCCACAGCCCTGAAAACAGGGAGATGTGTAATCAGGGGCATATTTAAACATGCGACTAGGGGTTAGGTACCACCAAAAAAGAGCTAAAACTAAGATTTTGAGAGGACACTTAGCTGTGGCAAAGCAGATATCTTGCTGGTCCTCCACTGAGATGGACATATTTATCTCCTCCTCCCACTGTATTACATCATGTGTTTTATGGTAAGTGTTGGAGAAGGTTATAGAACAGTGGTCACTAAATGACGGACCGTGGTTCGAGAACAGACCCAGCAGCGCTCCCTTCTGGACTGCCAGCCTGTCAGCCGGCAATGACAGATCCTCTGCTGAGCACGGCGGTCTTCATGTCAACATGACATCACGTGTGCGCCCACCCCTTGCAGCTCACTGTCTCTACGGCTCCTGCTCCCTACCGGTACGCAAGAATCCTTCAGCAAGGATCCCGGCACAGCGCCTGTCTGCCCCCAAGGTAGGTTGTAGTCTTACAAGGGCACACTGATGGGCACATTTAATGTTAAAGGGTCATGCTGATGGGCACATTTAATGTTAAAGGGTCATGCTGATGGGCACATTTAATGTTAAAGGGTAATGCTGATGGGCACATTTAATGTTAAGGTGCACTCTGATGGCCACAACATAGTATGTGCCCATCAGGGTGCCCCTAATATAAATGTGCCCATCAGAGTGCCCCTTAATATAAATGTGCCCATCAGAGTGCCCCTTAATATAAATGTGCCCGTCAGAGTGCCCCTGAACATAAAATGAGCCCATCAGCATGCCCCTTATTTTATGTTAAGGGGCACTCTGATGGGCCCATTTTATGTTAAGGGGCACTCTGATGGGCATCTTTTATGTTAGGGGGCACTCTGATGGGCACATACTGTGGAAAGGGGCACAAATGGGCACATACTGTGGAAAGGAGCACTCTGATGGGCACATGTGATGGAAAGGGGCAGTCTGATTTGCACTTGTGAAGGAAAGGGGCACTCTGATGAGGAATATGATGTAAAAAGGCACTATGATGGGTAAATATGATGGAAAGGGGTACTTTGAGTGTAAGGGGGCACTCTGACGGGAATACCTGATGTAAGGTGGCACTATGAAGGATACCTGATGTAAAGGAGCACTCTGATGGGCACACCTGATCTGATGGGAATACATGATGTAAAGTTGCACTCTGATAGCGACACCTAATGTAAAGGGGCACACTCATGGGCACACCCTATTTGGACCTCAGCCAGAAGAAAATTTTAGTGACCAGACCTCCTTGAATTTGAATTCAATACCCCTGTTATAGAAGTTTGTGTAAGAGAAATAATGTCAGGAGAGTGAGGAGCTGTTTGACATCTGCTTTCAAAGTCAGGGGTAGGGGTCAACGGCTTTGTTGTATCCATGATGTGTTGTAGTTGTATGTATCTGAAAGCCACCAATGCTTTTGTGAGTATGCATACATACATACCTCATCCACTATCCAATAATAATTTTTGTAGGTATGTATGTATTTACATTTGTGTGCTCCCATTGTTCCAGCACTAACAGCAGCTGCAACCGTCATGTGGAGTGATTTTCACCCAACAGTTGAAGTATAATCTTGGCCAACATGGAGAAAGGCAGCAGTGTATGCTCAGGTAAATAACGCTGAATGCCAAAGTTGGGGGGAGAGTTATTATTACAGCCTGAACAAGCCACTGTCTTCCAGTGCTGGGGTGGGAGGGTATTAGAACAGCCTGAGCTTTCCACAGATCACCAGTGTTGGGGATGTGAAGTTATCTTTACAGCCTGAGCCTACCAGTGGCCACCAATGCTGGATGAAGGGGCAGTATTTGTACAGTCTGAGCCTTCCACAGGCCAACAATGCTGGGGGAAGGGAAGAGATGCCTGTCAGGCTAACTGTATGAGGCCCCAATAATGGCGCTCCTGGTATAGGTGCTGTGGGAAGCAGGAGTAGACTGCAGGCTGCCTCCACTTTAAACTTGATAGCAGTGGTTTTTATACACAGTTATTATCTAAAATATAATCTAAATAATTATTACATATCCTGTAATTATTAAATGTAAATATTTATTATATATTGTAATTATGTAAAATATAATGTAAAATTAAATTTGCTATGTAAAAATTATGTACAATGAAATGGTTGCTAAACCTTGCATACAAGCTACATGAATTAGGGAGCTCTGTACGCTGCTAATGAATCAGTATGGCTATATTCACAATAAATGTTGTGTATGACAAACACTGTTAAATCATTGTATTAATCCTTAAAATACCAATGACTGTAGAATAGCTCATGATTAAGCTTTGTCATCAATAATTCATTATAACAAGGTCACATCTGCACTCTCTGGTAAGAGAGTACATTTTTTTAGTTGTTCTTTGATTATGTGATATTAACATATCACCCTCTCACTCCTAGGCGGTGTTAGAGGATCCACAGGTGGCTTGGTGGGCTAGCATTTCAAACCTCAGGACAGAATTCTTGACTCTTTGTGAGGTGGAAGAAATCGGGCATCAATCCCTTCAGTACATTTAACCACTTGCCTTCCTGAGGATTTACCCCCTTCCTGACCAGGCAATTTTTTGCGTTGCGGCGCTGCATTAGTTTAACTGACAATTGCATTATCACGCAATATTGCAACCAAGTGAAATTTACGTCATTTTTTTTCACACGAATTGAGCTTTCTTTCGGTGGCATATGACCTGTGCATTTTTTATTTTTTGTGCTATAAAAAAAAAAATCACCAACAATTGTGAGAAAAAATTATATTTTTGACAAATTGACAATTTTGAGAAAAAAAATTAATTTTTGACAAATTAAAAAAAATCTAATTTCATCATAAATTTAGGCCAAAATGTATTCTGCGACATGTCTTTGCTGAAAAAAATCCCAATACGTGTAAATTAATTTGTTTACATGAAAGTTATAGCGTATACAAATGGCAGTATATATATATACTGGAATTTAAAATTTTTTTTTTTACCAGTAATGGCGGCGATCAGCGACTTCTAGTGGGACTGTGGGACTGCAGTGGGTATTCTGACACTGGGGGGAACTGAGTGGGTGTCACTGACATCCCCAGTGACACCACTGACCGCTAAAAAAAAAAAGCACAGACACTGTACTAATGGCACTGGGCAGGAAGGGGCGATCAAAGGGTTAATTGTGTGCTGGGAGTGTTTACTGGGGGACGGTGTGTTGGTGCTTCACTGTAAGCACACTGCTCTGGATGACTGTACTGCGCACAGCCATCCAGAGCACTGTGCCCGAGCTGACAGGGAGGAGGACTGTTAGAAAACAAAGCAGTCCTCCTCCCCGTCGGAGATCCAAGGTAATCACTAGGCGCTGGCAGGGAATCACCGGCTGGGATCCAGTGATTGACAGCAGTGAATGGAGAGACGTGTGCGCGGCTCCTACCCAGAAATACAAAATCACGTATATATACGTGATTTTGCACACCCCCGTCGCACTGTAGCAGTATATCTGCTATAGGGCGGTCTTGATGTGGTTAAAGAGTTTGTTAGAAGTATGGAGTTTATTAAAAAAAAAATAACATTATACTCACCTGGGTGGATGCAGCATCAATCTGATGCAGCATCTTTCCCCCATCGGCTCTGCAGTAAGAACTGAGCAATCAAACACCGCTGATTGCTCAGTTCTTCCCTCCGCTCTGAGCAGAGAGCTGTGACTGTCAGTCTCTGACTCCCTGCTCTGCCCCTCCAGTGCTCACTAGAGCGTTGGGGTGTGAGGGGGCAGGAGGGGCTGGTTCAGGCTCTCTGTGGATTGGCTGAGAGGCTGATCCAGATGCCGGTCCAGGCTTCTTGGTGGATCCCAACCATATGGTCATGAACTTTTCAGAGCTCGGAAAGGCTTAGTGACATCAGCCAACAACGGACTTTAGCCCACTGTAGACTGAAAATGGGTCATAGGAGCAGACTGCACTCCTGTGATCTATAAGAGAAGAACTGCCAAAAGAGCTTTGGCTATACTGTACTTCTTTAGGTCACATTAAACCCTAGGAGAGAGAGGATTAGGGCACAGGATACCAAACAAGCAACAAAAACATAACTCTAGTCTTCCAGACAATAAAGGGCCTTTAAAGACTAAGTTCATCTTTAAAAAAATAATACATTTCAGGAGCCTGCAGAACATTGTGCCCACATCCAGCAAATTGCAATTGCAAAGTCAGGCAATGTCAAGCTCCTGCAGGCACTGCCTACAGCTTTCTGCCTGTACCTCTGTACGGAGCTTTTTGTTTGAATGCTGTAGGCAATGTCAATGAACAACGAGAGTGCTCACCAGCGCCCTCACAGTTACATAGTTAGTCTGGCTGAAAAAAAAAAAAGACAAAAGTCTGTCCAGTTCAACCATTAAAAAAAAAAAAAGTTACCCTATACCAGTGATGGCGAACCTTTTTGAGCCCGAGTGCCCAAACTGCAGCCCAAAACCAACTTATTTCTTTCAAAGTGCCAACACTGCAATGAAACCTGAATATCAAGCTTTTGGTTTAGAAAAAAAACAACTCGTACAGTAGTGCAAACTAATTTACAGTACAGGGATGACCAGAGACTGCAGACACAGTACAGGGATGACCAGAGACTGCAGACACAGTACAGGGATGACCAGAGACTGCAGACACAGTACAGGGATGACCAGAGACTGCGGACACAGTACAGGGATGACCAGAGACTGCGGACACGGTACAGGAGATGACCAGAGACTGCGGACATGGTACAGGAGATGACCAGAGACTGCGGACACGGTACAGGGATGACCAGAGACTGCAGACACGGTACAGGGATGACCAGAGACTGCAGACACAGTACAGGGGATGACCAGAGACTGCGGACACAGTACAGGGATGACCAGAGACTGCGGACACAGTACAGGGATGACCAGAGACTGCGGACACAGTACAGGGATGACCAGAGACTGCGGACACAGTACAGGGATGACCAGAGACTGCGGACACAGTACAGGGATGACCAGAGACTGCGCACACAGTACAGGGATGACCAGAGACTGCGGACACAGTACAGGGGATGACCAGAGACTGCGGACACAGTACAGGGGATGACCAGAGACTGCGGACACAGTACAGGGATGACCAGAGACTGCAGACACAGTACAGGGATGACCAGAGACTGCGGACAGTACAGGGGATGACCAGAGACTGCGGACAGTACAGGAGATGACCAGAGACTGCGGAAAGCACAGGGATGACCAGAGACTGCGGACAGTACAGATGACTGCTGACCTTTGGGAGGGAGGGGGAGCGGGTACCTGAATTTGACAGGTACCCGCTCTTACTTCCGCAGAGTTTTTTTTTTATCTTACCTGTTCCTTTATCCAGCCGCGCGCTGTCTTCCCGGCTTCTGTAGTGTGGGCGCTCGTCGGACAGCCGGATGCCCAGTGCGCATGCGCGAGAAGCGTTGCGCTTTGTGATTGGTTCGGCGGCTTCTGGGATCTGTCATGTGTCCCAGGTACCGCCTTACCATTCACAAAGAGCACTGCTTCTTGCGCATGCGCACTTGGGACCCGGCTGTCATGCACACTACAGAAGCCGGGAAGACAGCGCGCCGCTGGATAGAGGGACAGGTACGGTCCCACTGCAGAGCTGAGCGACCGGCCCGGTATTCTGACACGGCGGTGGTGGAAATACCGGACCGGCCGCTCTATATTCGCTCCATAAGACGCACTGACATTTTCCCCCCTTTTTTGGGGGAAAAAAAGTGCGTCTTATGGAGCGAAAAATACGGTATTCTCCTGGCGTGCCCACAGATAAGGCTCGGCGTGCCGGCTGTGGCACGCGTGCCACGGGTTCGCCATCACTGCCCTATACCCACAGTTGATCCAGAGGAAGGCAAAAAAAAAACCTAGCAAAGCATGATCCAATTTTCTCCTGCAGGGAAAAAAATTCCTTCCTGATCCCCTGAGAGGCAATCGGATATTCCTTAGTTCATTGAGAACTACACGCTATCTGCCGTGGTGGGAAATGATACTTGTAGTTTATTAATTCACAGATTCCTGTGAATTAATGATTCAGTTGTGTGAGTGGAGCACTGCTTTTGAATTGTGACAGCAAGTGTGCGGAGAGAAACCCACGCCTGCTGTCATCGGCATGCAGGCAGGTGCTGTATAGTGACATAGTACATGGTGCACCCTAAATACAGGTGTAACATGGCAAACGTATCCTTTATCTTGGGTTCATACTTGTGTGGTGTGGGATACCGCATTTCTATTCAAATTGCATGCAATTATTTGCAGTGCAGTGTGAGCCCATTCATTTTGTATGGGTTCAGTTTGCACCGCACAAAAAAGGCGCAGGCATCTTTTTTTTGCTGCACTGGAATCAGATTGCATGGGTGTGAACACCCATGTGAGCTGATTCTTGTGATCGCACTGTGTTTGGCGACCTGTTAGGGGTGTCATTAATTTACCATTGACACCAGTGGCAGATCGCATGAATGGAGTGTGATTTCAATGCATTGCGGGAATTGCTAAGGTATAGCTGCATTTCCCGCACTGTATATATGTGAACTGGCACTTATTATTATTATAGGTACTTATATAGCGCTGCCAATTTATGTAGCGCTTTACATATATATTTGTACATTCACATCAGTCTCTAACCCTCAAGGATTGTACAATCTAAGGTTAAGCTGAAAACAGCAGTCTGCACTCTTCATGCTGTAAAACACCACCAGGCAGCACAAGTACCTTTAGAATGAGCAGGCCGGACTTCCTAAAATCTATTCCCTGCTCCCCCAGACAGTCTTCAGCAGTGATGTTTCTCTACAAGATGCTCCATACAGGCAGGCATCTTTCTGCTCCGCACCTTCTTGATGTCCCCTCCAACAAGGCACCATATAACCTCTCCACCCCCAAAGCACAGGCTTCACCCTCCCCAGACAGCAGGCCTGATAGGCAGATAGTTTCAACATAATTTTCTCTTTGGCAACAGGAAGCGAAGACCTTTCAGGAAAGTCACCCAAAATATGTATATACTCCCCCAGCATGCACCATTAGCAAGTGCTAAGGATTTGCTAGGAAGACTTGAATATTCATAGTTCAAAATGTATCTTCTTGCTGTATTGCCAGGGACTCTCCCCAGGAGCAGGCAGAAGCAAACAATAAACTAAACCTAAAGAAGTTAGGAGCTTATAAAAAAACCCCTTCATACGCACCTTTATGCTGCGGCGTCAGCCATAAGAACTCTTCTCCTCCAGGAGAGGGGGTGGGAGCAGCTGGCTTTGGCTCACAACTGTGTGCTGATAGCTGGAGCCAGCTGTCAATCAGGCAGCTGGATGGATCCCAGAAATATGGTCGGGATACTTCCAGAGCATGTAGTGGCTCTGAGACGTCTGCTGACAGTGGGGAATAGGAGAGCAGAAGTACGTGCACTGTTGTTACCCACAAGAGAAGTATGGGCAAAAAAGCTTTGGCTTAATGCAAGCGCATATGCAAATAAATGTATGTATTTCAATGAGCCTAGTTTACACCACTGCAGTGCTTTCACGTGTGTTTAAAAAAAAAAGTGCAGCATGCTGCATTTTTTCACACATAAATACATTTGAACGCATTGAAAATACATGTAAATGTAACTCTGTAAAAAAAAGAATGGCTAAAAAATGCACCACAAAAATGCACATGCAGAACTGCACACATAATGTGGGAGCCCTTTAAGTGCGTTTATAGCCAAAATGTTGTCTTTATTTTAGAGTATGGTATATTTTCACACCTCTTAATTTTTTTCTAGATGACTGTGTGCCATTTGGGAGTTTTCCCTTCACTTCCTCTCATTAACACACAACAGTATTTCCTCCAAAGTGAGGGGAAGTGTGCTCTTGTACAGTTGTCTCTTGAACAGACATGGGAAAAATTAAGCTATATGTAAAGATTTCCCTTGTTCAGTTCAGTGTGCTGGCCATACAGGTAAAGATTTCCCTTGTTTAGCCCAGTGTCCTGGCCATACACGTAAAGATTTCCCTTGTTCAGCCCAGTGTCCTGGCCATACAGGTAAAGATTTCCCTTGTTCAGTTCAGTGTGCTGGCCATACAGGTAAAGATTTCCCTTGTTTAGCCCAGTGTCCTGGCCATACACATAAAGATTTCCCTTGTTCAGCCCAGTGTCCTGGCCATACAGGTAAAGATTTCCCTTGTTCAGCCCAGCGTCCTGGCCATACACGTAAAGATTTCCCTTGTTCAGCCCAGCGTCCTGGCCATACACGTAAAGATTTCCCTTGTTAAGCCCAGTGTCCTGGCCATACACGTAAAGATTTCCCTTGTTCAGCCCAGTGTCCTGGCCATACAGGTAAAGATTTCCCTTGTTCAGCCCAGTGTCCTGGCCATACACGTAAAGATTTCCCTTGTTCAGCCCAGCGTCCTGGCCATACACGTAAAGATTTCCCTTGTTCAGCCCAGTGTCCTGGCCATACAGGTAAAGATTTCCCTTGTTCAGCCCAGTGTCCTGGCCATACACGTAAAGATTTCCCTTGTTCAGCCCAGTGTCCTGGCCATACACGTAAAGATTTCCCTTGTTCAGCCCAGTGTCCTGGCCATACACGTAAAGATTTCCCTTGTTCAGCCCAGTGTCCTGGCCATACACGTAAAGATTTCCCTTGTTCAGCCCAGTGTCCTGACCATACAGGTAGAGTTCCCTTGTTCAGCCCAGTGTCCTGGCCATACACGTAAAGATTTCCCTTGTTCAGCCCAGTGTCCTGGCCATACACGTAAAGATTTCCCTTGTTCAGCCCAGTGTCCTGGCCATACACGTAAAGATTTCCCTTGTTCAGCCCAGCGTCCTGGCCATACACGTAAAGATTTCCCTTGTTCAGCCCAGCGTCCTGGCCATACACGTAAAGATTTCCCTTGTTCAGCCCAGCGTCCTGGCCATACAGGTAAAGATTTCCCTTGTTCAGCCCAGTGTCCTGGCCATACACGTAAAGATTTCCCTTGTTCAGCCCAGCATCCTGGCCATACACGTAAAGATTTCCCTTGTTCAGCCCAGCGTCCTGGCCATACACGTAAAGATTTCCCTTGTTCAGCCCAGCGTCCTGGCCATACAGGTAAAGATTTCCCTTGTTCAGTTCAGTGTCCTGGCCATACACGTAAAGATTTCCCTTGTTCAGTTCAGTGTGCTGGCCATACAGGTAAATATTTCCCTTGTTCAGTTCAGTGTCCTGGCCATACACGTAAAGATTTCCCTTGTTCAGCCCAGTGTCCTGGCCATACACGTAAAGATTTCCCTTGTTCAGCCCAGTGTCCTGGCCATACAGGTAGAGTTCCCTTGTTCAGCCCAGTGTCCTGGCCATACACGTAAAGATTTCCCTTGTTCAGCCCAGTGTCCTGGCCATACACGTAAAGATTTCCCTTGTTCAGCCCAGCGTCCTGGCCATACACGTAAAGATTTCCCTTGTTCAGCCCAGCGTCCTGGCCATACAGGTAAAGAGTTCCCTTGTTCAGCCCAGCGTCCTGGCCATACACGTAAAGAGTTCCCTTGTTCAGCCCAGCGTCCTGGCCATACACGTAAAGATTTCCCTTGTTCAGCCCAGCGTCCTGGCCATACAGGTAAAGATTTCCCTTGTTCAGTTCAGTGTCCTGGCCATACACGTAAAGATTTCCCTTGTTCAGCCCAGCGTCCTGGCCATACACGTAAAGATTTCCCTTGTTCAGTTCAGTGTGCTGGCCATACAGGTAAAGATTTCCCTTGTTCAGCCCAGTGTCCTGGCCATACACGTAAAGATTTCCCTTGTTCAGCCCAGCGTCCTGGCCATACAGGTAAAGATTTCCCTTGTTCAGTTCAGTGTCCTGGCCATACACGTAAAGATTTCCCTTGTTCATTTCAGTGTCCTGGCCATACACGTAAAGATTTCCCTTGTTCAGCCCAGCATCCTGGCCATACACGTAAAGATTTCCCTTGTTCAGCCCAGCGTCCTGGCCATACACGTAAAGATTTCCCTTGTTCAGCCCAGCGTCCTGGCCATACAGGTAAAGATTTCCCTTGTTCAGTTCAGTGTCCTGGCCATACACGTAAAGATTTCCCTTGTTCAGCCCAGCGTCCTGGCCATACACGTAAAGATTT